AAATCATCAGCAATAATATAGATATGATATATGTTAAAGGGGTGAATTATCCAGGACAATATAGTAGTCCCAAATATGTAGCAACCTAATAACAGAGCAGCAAAATATATAAGGCAAAAACTTCAAAGATAATTAGTCATGTCTCCTGTTAGAGTTGGGAAGTCAATACTCTTCTTTCAATAGATGATAGATCCAGGAGATAGAAAATCATTGAGAATATAGATGAATTGAACAGCCCCATCAATTAATTTAATCTAATTGACAATTTTAGAATATTCCATGTAACAATAGCAAAATACACATAGTTCTGAAGCTGATATTAATAATTTACCAGGATATACCATGTTCTGGACCATAAAACAGGTATTTAAACTGAAAAAGAATAGAAATAATAGAAAGCATCTCAAATTACAATAGAGTTAAACTAGAAATAAAAAATAGTAACACTCTAAATGTTTACAAGTTTAACATCATATATCCAAGTAACCTATAAGTCAAAAAAGTAGATTCAACAAAATTTAGAAATATTTTGAACTGAGTAAAATACAAATACAACTTATCAAAATGTATGGGATATAGTTAAAGCAGGGGCATGAGAGAAATTTTTAATACTAAATGCATATATAAGTAAATATCTAAATCAGTAATATTTTAATCTATATTTCACATAGAAAGCTATAGAAAGAAGGTCAATTTAAGTCCAAAACAAAGAGAAGAAATAAAAGTTAGAGCAGAAATCCATACCATTTTAAACAGTAAAACACTAGGGACAATCAAGTTAACCAAAGGTTGCCTCTATGAAAATCTTTTTTACAAATCAATAAATGTCTAGCTAAGGTAACCTAGAAAAAAGATAGAAGGCACAAATGACCAATATTAGAAATATAGAGAGGTCATAACTACTGACTTATTGATATTAAAAGGATAGTAACAAATACCATGAACAACCTTATGTCCACAATTTTTATTTTAATTTTTATTCATTTTTTCATTTTTTTAAATTTTCTATTTTTAATTTTTATGGATACATAAAAGTTGTACTTATTTATAGGGTACATGTGATCTTTTGATACACATATAATGTATATTATATGTGTATCATATAATATGCAATAATTAAACCAGGGTAATTGGAATATCTATCACCTCAAGCATATATCACTTCTTTGTGTTAGAAACTTTCCAATTCTACTCTTTTAGTTATTTTGAAATATACAATATGCTATTGTTAACTATAGTTGTCCTACTATGCTATCAAACATTAGATTTACTTCCTTCTACCTAACTGTATCTTTGTGCCCATCAACCTTCCCCTCTATATTCCCCACGCCCTACTACCCATGCCAGCCTCTGGTAACCATCATTCTACTCTCTATCTCCATGAGTTCTTTTTTTTTTTTTTTTTTTTTTGCTCTCACATATGAATGAGAACATGTAATATTTGTCTTTCTGTACTTGGCTTATTTCAGTTAACACAATGTCCTCCAGTTCCATCCATGTGCCAGCAAATTACAGGATTTCATTATTTTTATGTCTGAGTAGTATTACATTGTCTAAATGTACCACTTTTTCTTTCTCCATTCCCACTGATGGACACTTAGGTTGATTTCATATCTTGAATTCTCATAATTTTTATATTAGATGAAATGGACTTATTCTTTGGAAGATACAAACCACCAAGGTTTATAGAAAGAGAATGAGAAAACATAAATTGGCTTGTATCTACTTAGAAAAATGAATCAATAATTAATAACTTTCCAAAAGAAAAATCACCATATTATCTCACCTTTGTGCCCTTTATGGTGATTTGTCTTTTAGGAAGTTGTTAATTATTGATTCAGTTTTTAAAGTATGGTATGTTTACACCATGGAAAACTATACAGCCATTAAAAAAGAACAGGAACATGTCCTTTTCAGGGACATGGATGGAGCTGGAGGCCATTATCCTTAGCAAAGTAACATAGTAACAGAAAACCAAGTACCACAGGTTCTCACCTATAAGTGGGAGCTAAATGATGAGAACAAATGGACATATAGAGTACAGAGAACAACACACACTGGGGCTTTTGGTGGGAGGTGGAAGGTGGGAGGAGGGGGAGGATCAGGAAAAATAACTAATGGTAATAGGCTTAATACCTGGGTGATGAAATAATCTGTACAACAAACTGTCATGACACAACTTTACCTATGTAACAAACCTGCACTTGTACCCCTGAACTTAAAATAACAGTTAACACCGTACTCATATGGCTTTGCTGGTTAATTCTACCAAATGCTTAAATAAGAAATGCTACCAATTCTTCACAATTTCTTCCAGTAAATAGAAGCAAAGGGAACACTTTCTAACTCCTTGTATAAGGGCAACATTATCCTAATAAAAGCTAATAAAGACATTATAAGAAAGGAAAATTATAGAACAGTATCTCTTATAAAGGTAGGTAAAAAATATGATCAGCAAATCACATCCAAAAATATACAAAAATAATTTTACTCCACAACTAAATGGGGTTTATTCCCGGTTCAATACTGAAAAAAAAAATCAATGCAGTCTTCCATATCAACAGGCTTAATGGTGAGAAAATATTCACTTTTCACCTAAGATCAGTAATAAGGCAAGGATACCTTTCTTATTACTCCTACACAATGTCACAATGGAAGTCTTATCTACTGAAGTAAGACAAGAAAAAAGAAGTAAAAGACATAAAATTTAGAAATGAAAATATAAAATTATCTTTGTTGGAATTGACATAATTGTCTATGTAAAACACTCAGAAGCATCAACAAAAGCTTCTGAAACTAATGAGGGCATGTGGTAAATTGACCTAGTGAAAGGTCAACATATAAAATTCAATTGATTGCCTATACACCAGCAGCAAAAATTAGAATTTGAAACTAAAAAGAAAATTTAAATTGCACAAAAACTTTGAAATCACATCGTATAAAATTAAAATGTGTATAGGAACTATATGCAGAAAGCTATAAAACACTGACAAAATAAATCAAAGAAACCTAAGTATTTGAGATATATTTCATGTTTGTAGATAGGTGGAATATAAAATGATGTGGCCACTTTGGGAAACCATCTGGCAGTTCTTCAAATGGTTTGACATAGAGTTACCATATGACCCAGTTATATATTCTACTCCTAGTTATATATCCATGAGAAATAAAAATGTATGTCCTCACAAATACTTGTACATGAATGTCCATAGCAACATTATTTATAACAGGCAAAAAGTGGATATAATCCAAATAATCATCAACTAATTAATAAAATATGGTTAGCCCTAAAATGAAATATTATTTAGAGATAAAAATAAATGAGTTCTCAAGTTATGAAAATACATGGATGCATGTTAAGTACATGTTGCTAAGTGAAAGAGCTCGTCTGAAAAAGCTACATACTAGATGGTACCAATTATATGGCATAGAGAAGGCAAAACTAGAGAAATTATACCCAATCAGTTGTAGCCAGACTTAAGATGGTTGAAAAGATAGAAAACTAAATTTTATAGAAAGTGAATTTATTCTGTGTTATGTTCTTATGGCAAATATATGAAACTATGAATTTATAAAAACCCATAGAATTTAAAATGCAAAGAGTGAGCTTTAATATATGACAATTAAAAAACAACAACGACATTGTTTTCAGGTGGTATGGGGAATCCCAGGATGAGATGTAAAATGTGATAAAATAATATGCCTAGTACAAAAGTATAATGCAGCCTTACTTAAGGGGATTGGAAGAAAACGTAGCAACCTAAGTAATTTTGTAAATGAGTAAAGGCTGTGAAACTTAAGGCACAAGTAACTGTACACAGACATTATAATTTTGTTGATAAAGTTGTCCCTTTGGGGGTTTGGGTTAATGATTTTTATATTGTTCCTATGCACCTGGAATTGAGGAGAGTAAATGGATGGTAGATACTGTGAGTCAGATTTCTGTCAGCCATACTGACAGAAATAAATAATTGATTAATAGAAGAATAGATTATTAATATATAAATAGATACATAGGGGAAAAGGACAGAAGAAATCTATGTAGGTATTATTCTGCCTTAAGGAGGTGGAACATGACTCCTCTCCTCTCAAGCGTGAGTTGTGCATAGTGACTTCCTTTCAAACAGCACCACATGGAAAGGGGAGGAAAGATGAATGATCTTACAGTGGAGAAGCCTAAAGAACATTATGGCACATCAGTGATTAAGGTCAACATTAACAGTTGGAAATCATCTTGATAGTATCTATCTTAGATATGATATGATGATGATGGCACTTTATGTCTGTGATATTCTTCCCCAAACCCATAACTCCAGTCTAATCATGAGAAAAAACATCAGAAAAATTGCAATAGAGGGGCATCATTCAAAATATCTGATGAGTATTCAAAATCGTCAAGGTTATCAAAACCAAAAAAAAAAAAAAAAAGTCTGAAAAACTGTCACAGTCAAGATGAACATAAAGAGACATGGCAACCATGTTTAATAGGGTATCCTGGATAAAATCCTGGAACAGAAAAAGGACATTGGGTAAAAACTAAGGCTATCTAAATAGAGTATGGGCTTTAGTTAATACTTATGTATCAATGTAAGCTAATTTTCCTTCATTCCATCTTTCAGTTAACTAATTTTAACAAATGCAGCATAATATTGTAAGATATTAATAATAGGGAAAGCTGGGTGTGGGTATATGAGAAATACTATATTACATCTATCATAAAAATATATCAGAACAACTCATATTCCAGTTTTATTTTATGTTATACTGAATAAATGATCCTAAACTACAACCATGTATGAAGAAAATAATTAACTATTATATACTATTAAAATATTAATAAATTATGTTATTTTCTGAATTAAAATTTAAATACTGACTTTAAATTTTTTTTATATGGGGAAAGATTGTTTATATTCAGATAATATAATTTTTACTTTCTTTGATTATTTAAAATAATATATTTTCTTTCTTTGTACTAATACATAATTTCTGTGTGAAATAGTAAAAATACTTGTTTCTTGTTCTTTATTTTGCAATAAATGAGGTTGTAAACAAGGCCAGCTTCATGATTGCATGTCCTTTGCAGTTGCACAAGTCCCTGGACTTAGAAGGCCTTGCACTTGGTGTAATGCTCTGCTATCATTGTCTCAGCTGATCCTGGTTAAAAATGACTAAAATACTTATGACTATCCTTGAAAGTATAAGAGTCCAGGGCCAAAAACCTGCAATGAAAACAAAAAAGACCTATATTCACTTTATTGCATGTCATTATTCATGTTTCTAAAGATATCCAGTCTTTAACCTGTAATCACTTGTTCTACCTCTAAAATTGTAAGTTCAGATAATTTTTGCAAAAGGACAAGAAAAGCACATAATACTCTGTAAAAATGAGAGCTTTCCTCACACCCCTTCACCCCTGCCTTTGAAGGACAACAACAAGGACTACCACTTTACAAGCTCTTCTGTAGCCAAATTTTCCTAGGTTGCACAAATTGGCAATCTAACAGCTAATTTTCCCATATCCCACAGAAACATTATTTCAGAGATTTTTATCATCAGCATAGACTATGTCATATGAGTTCTCCATTACAAATTGCTAGTTTGGCTTCATTTAGAATGAAGTGTCAAATATCTCAAATCATTAAAAGTCAAACATATTATCTGATGTAAAGATAAAATTTACCAATCCAGAAAAATGTACTATTAGATCTTCAATACTTTATGTTTTCACCCTTCCAGTTCCCTTCTACCAGTTTCCTCTTCCAGGCTTTCTTTGCTTTCTTCCTAATTACAGCCTTATTACTGCTACAGACCATGGAGCCTGATAAATAGCATTAATTGAAAACAATTATTGTTACAAATGAGAACTTGCTGAATAGACCCATAAAGTTTCTGTCCTCTTCAAAGTCTGCCCAGATAAGCCTGGAAGTGTGGGGAGTTAATGCCTATGTGGCAGACGTTGCTCAAAGAGACAGAGGACACAAGGAATATTCAATAGTTGAATTGCTTGAACTTTCCTCTGACATGTCCTCTCAACCTCGCCACTACCCCCTCATATATGCAAAACAGACTGTTTTGAGAAGTGGAGGTTCTAGACTGTATTGAATCCCTCCCCCACAAATTCATATTATGAAGCTCTAACCTCCAATGTGACTGTATTTGGAGACAAGGACTTTAAGGAGGTAACGAAGGCTAAACGAGGTCACAAAGATGGGGCCTCAATCCCATATGATTGGTGTCCTTATAGAAAGAAAAAGACACTAGGGATGCATACACTCAGAGGAGAGGCCATGTGGGAACACAGTGAGAAGGTGGCCATCTGCAAGCCAAGGAGAGAGCCTCGGGAGAAATCAAACCTCCTGACATCTTGATCTTGGACATCCAGCCTTCAGAGCTGTGACAAAATAAACTTCTGTTGTTGAAGCCATCTAGTCAGTAGTATTTTCTTTTGGCAGCCTAAGCAGACTACTACATGGGGGTTTCATGCTGTGTCTCTGGATATGTTCCCTGCGAACATATCAGCTGTTCATATCTGAACCCACAAGCTGTTTTTCTGGTGATGCTGTCAGCTCCCTTAGACATCTTTTGCATTTACTCTTCCTCCTTCTGTTTCACTTCCCTCTTTTGTCTTGCTCTTTTCCTCAGGCTCTGTGTTTGAGGAAATCCTAGACGAGTTCTAGACAGCACACATCCTTCAGGAGGTATTTTGGGTTTGAATTCCCTGCCTGTTTGAAGGCAAAAGCAGTCACAAAGCTCATGGTAAGTGTGAGAGGATAATAATTTTTGGTATTGAGAGATATCATAATTGCTCACGCCTCGAGTTGGGGTTAACTGGAATGGAATATAGGTAAGTAAGGTGCTGGAATACAAGCAGCTGCTGCATTGGTCATGGGGACAATAATAACTGAGCTTTTAGTACCATTGGAAACTTTGAGAAAGTTAAAAATGAGAGGCTAATGATAGCTGTTTTCTATGAAAACGAAAGAGTCTTTATGGGAGCTTTCAAAGAGTTGTTTATATATTGTTCCTCTGGTAGACTGTGCTGAAGAACAAGTCTCAGATCTGAACATAGAATGGGAAAGTTGTAGAGGAGATGAAATGTGTCCTCTTAGTAAGTCTCAAACGTCAAACTACAGCCTTGATAGAGAAAGAGTGAGACCCTAAAACCTGGGGTAGTTATGCTTAGATAAATAAGCCTATGAATATCAACTTACTAAATTTTCTTTAATCTTCTTGGTCAGTAGAGGCAGCCCTAAAACAACTTGTCATAGGAGAACAGCTTGCCCTTTTCTAGGGATTGTCTACTGACTTGACCTAAGCCAGAGTATAAAAATATAATGTTTGAGTTCTTTGTAGGTTCTGGATATTAGCCCTTTATCAGATGAGTAGATTGCAAAAATTTTCTCCCATTCTGTAGGTTGCCTGTTCACTCTGATGGTAGTTTCTTTTGCTGTGCAGAAGCTTTTTAGTTTAATTAGATCCCATTTGTCAATTTTGGCTTTTGCTGCCGTTGCTTTTGGTGTTTTAGACATGAAGTCTTTGCCCATGCCTATGTCCTGAATGGTACTACCTAGGTTTTCCTCTAGGGTTTTTATGGTATTAGGTCTAACATTTAAGTCTCTAATCCATCTTGAATTAATTTTCGTATAAGGAGTAAGGAAAGGATCCAGTTTCAGCTTTCTACTTATGGCTAGCCAATTTTCCCAGCACCATTTATTAAATAGGGAATCCTTTCCCCATTTCTTGTTTCTCTCAGGTTTGTCAAAGATCAGATGGCTGTAGATGTGTGGTATTATTTCTGAGGACTCTGTTCTGTTCCATTGGTCTATATCTCTGTTTTGGTACCAGTACCATGCTGTTTTGGTTACTGTAGCCTTGTAGTATAGTTTGAAGTCAGGTAGCGTGATGCCTCCCTGGGTATATACCCAAAGGATTATAAATCATGCTGCTATAAAGACACATGCACATGTATGTTTATTGTGGCACTATTCACAATAGCAAAGACTTGGAATCAACCCAAATGTCCATCAGTGACAGACTGGATTAAGAAAATGTGGCACATATACACTATGGAATACTATGCAGCACAAAAAAAGGATGAGTTTGTGTCCTTTGTAGGGACATGGATGCGGCTGGAGACCATCATTCTTAGCAAATTATCACAAGAACAGAAAACCAAACACTGCATGTTCTCACTCATAGGTGGGAACTGAACAATGAGATCACTTGGACTCGGGAAGGAGGACATCACACACCGGGGCCTATCATGGGGAGGGGGGAGGGGGGAGGGATTGCATTGGGAGTTATACCTGATGTAAATGACGAGTTGATGGGTGCAGCACACCAACATGGCACAAGTATACATATGTAACAAACCTGCACGTTATGCACATGTACCCTAGAACTTAAAGTATAATAATAATAATAAATAAATAAATAAATTTTTAAAAAAAGATAATGTTTGTTCTCAAAATAATCTGTCCTCAATATCCCTCAATGGCCCCAGGACCCAATGAGGGGCCAATGATTAAATCTCCTCACAACCCAAAAAGAGAAGAATAGACTTTGCTTTGGGAAGAAAAACTTAAACAGCAAAGAAATGAAAGGTCTGATTAGTATATGGCAGCAGTAACCAGGGAAACACATGAGGAAATGGTTCTAACTGAAGGTTATAAAGCAGGAATGTAAGGCTGGATAAGTTTGTTATTACACAATGGAGGTATAGTGGAGTATGTTCTTATCCTAGGGTATTCACTGATGTGTCTTTTGGTTCTTCTATGACCATTGATAATTGTGAGTGAAATATTTCAACAGCCACAGCCCAACAAAGGCAAGACAAGGAAGGCCTCAAATACATTAAGAATCAAAGATGTGTCATCTCCTGACCTGCTTAAGGGCTAAGAGGGAGTGAGGGGAATCTAGGGAATTTGAGTGAAGAAGAATGATGAGAAATATCAATTCTGTACCACCTGCAATAGTTTGAACATGGCTTGGTTTCTAGTCTTTTTTATGTTTTTTAGGAAATTGCAACTAATTATCACCGTGAAGAATTTGATTTGCACCTCCTCTTCTAGTCAAGAATTGAATGCAAAGTGTTCTTATGTGAGATCTGAAGATCACTAAAGAGTGAGAGTGAAAATGAGCTTCTGCCTTCTGAATCTACCTGACTTCACCTGACCCTCAGGACTTGGGAGACTGCTTTTCTTCCTGGCCAGAGCGTCATTAGGAATGACTCATGAAATTACTTCAACCATAAAACTTAGGTCATTGCAACTGCTGTAATCACCACCACCATCCAAACGGGCCAAGTATCCCCCAACCAGCATACACACACATTTACACATATACTTGGAGGAGTCCACAGAACCAAACACTGACTGGACTGGACCACTGGAGCCCTCATTTCTTCCAAAACTGCCTAGAGACCCAGGGAATACAACTTGCAGGTATAGGACAGTTAACCAATGAGCTTGTCTTTTACTAGTAGGAAAAATGGACAAAAAAAGAACCAGTAATCACTAGCCTTCCTTCCCTACTTACTTTAGTATCCAATAGATCAATGCAAGCACAGGGACTTTTACAGTTTCTCTGGAAACAACTCATAATTTAAGCTATCAACTGCACTGCCTCTTGAAGCTGTGGCCTGAATGGTAGCAAACCGATTGGCATTTTCTCTCCTTCCATTATAGTCTCTCTGTTATCATTGACTTTTACTTCCAGGGATTGTTTTCTCATCTTCCCCTCTAAACCTTCAGATTAAAAGTTTTTGCCTCAGATGCTGTTTCCTTCTTTCCTTCCCTCCCTCCCTCCCTCCCCTCCCCACTCCCTCTCTCCCCTTTTCCCCTCCCTCTCCTCCTCCCTCCCTCCTTCCCTCCCCCTCCCTCCCTCCTTCCTTTCTTCCTGCTTGCTTTTGACAGCAGTGTCCAAAATTTATTCTACCAGAGATTTATTTATATTTTTGCAAACATGCAAACACTTCGCATTTACAGATCAGTTTCAACAGAAATGTATCTTGACAAAGTATGGAAAAATTAATTTGAGGGTTCAATTTCATATTTTCTATTTAAAATAAAGTTTATGTGAAGAAAGGAGCCACTGACTGAAACATTCTGGTCAAAACCTGTTGATAGACCTCTCTACTTTCTCTTCAGAATAAATAGCATCTATAGTGGATATTATTACTTGTAGAAAGAATAAACATATTTTAGAGTGAAAAAAAGATTCAGCTCACACAAAGAATGGGGAAAATATTGAGTTAAATAAAAAAAATTCTTTTTACAAGTGAAAGGAAAATGTTTTTTCTTCTGCCATCAATAAAACCACTATGGTGTTATATACGTTGTTTTACTGTGTGTTTTATTTGCCTGATGTTATCTTTCTTGTTCATCTGGTATTAACCCCATACTAATTGCCTTCTATAGCAGGGGTCCCCAACCTTTAGGCTGCAGACTGATAATGGTCTGTGGCTTGTTAGAAACCGGGCCACACAGCAGGAGATGAGGGGTGGGCAAGGGAGCATTACTGCCTGAGCTCCACCTCCTGTCAGATCAGCTATGGCATTAGATTCTCACAGAAGCATGAACCCTATTGTGAACTGCACATGCCTGGGATCTCGGTTGTGCACTCCTTATGAGCCAAAAAGTTTGGGAACCATGGACTGCTGCTCTGTATGATAGGAATTACAGCATACTGAAGCATCTCCCTGTAATTACAGAATAAACTGACTTATGTCATTTGCCACATTTATTTTTGTCTTTGATTTCTAATTTTTATTTTGAAACAAAAACATATGACAAAAAGCTCAACATCACTGGTCTGTAGAGAAATGCAAATCCAAACCCCAATGAGGTACCATCTAACACCAGTCAGAATGGCTGTTATATAAAAGTCAAAAAATAACAGATGCTGGAAAAGTTGTGGAGAAAAAAAGACCACTTACTCACTGTTAGTAGGAGTGTAAATTAATTCAGTCATTGTGGAAGACAGTGTCATGATTCCTCGAAGACCTAAAGATAGAAATACCATTTGACCCAGCAATCCTATTACTGGGTATATACCCAAAGGAATGTAAATCATAGTATCATAAAGTCACATGCACATGTACATTTACTGCATCACTATTCATGATAGCAAAGACATGGAATCAAACTAAATGATAGACTGGATAAAGAAAATAAAGACTGGATAAAGAAAATGTCCATACACACCATGGAATAATATGCAGCCATAAAAAAGAGCGAGATCGTGTCCTTCGCAGGCCATTACCCTTAGCAAACTAACAGGAACAGAAAACCAAATACTGCATATTCTCACTTATAAGTGAGAACTAAATCATGAGAACACATGGCCACATAGACGGGAACAACGCATACTGGGTCCTTTCCGAGGGTGGAGGGTGGGAGGAGTGAGAGGATCAGGAAACATAACTAATGGATACTAGGCTTAATACCTGGGTGATGAAATAATTTGTACAACAAAGTCCTATGACACAAATTTACCTATGTAACCCACACTTGTAACCCTGAACTTAAAATAAAATTAAAACAAAAAGAAAACTGGAATTGGAAAGAAAAGCAACAACAACAACAGCAACAACAAAAGCTTAGTGGTTTAAAAACGTGCTGACACAGTTCTTCACAATTCCAAAATAAATGATATTTCTTTAAAAATAGAAGTAATACTCTAGTGCTTTTAAAACGAATCCATTTAAAATCTGCTTAAACCCATTTCTTACTGCATTTTAAGCATTTTTGTGTGTGTGTGAAAAGAAATTAGTGAACACAATTCAGAATAATGACAGCCATATGAGATACAATTCACAATAACAATCAGATGTAGTTTTCTAGGGTCCAGGACAACACATTCACATCTTCCAATCTTGGACTGGCCAATATTCAATCAACGTCAAGCTGTCATTGGAAATATGTGATGCAGTTAGAACAACACAAATTCATTCATAATACCATTTTATTTATTTCTCAGTAGTCATCAGTTCTTGGCTTTAGTTACTGTATTTTAAGTTTTATTATATTAATGTATTTTCATTCTGTTTTCTGATAAGGTATATACCCTGATATAGTTGTCTATATAATTATAGACACAGAGTTGTATCATGCCTATATATTTATTGATATAGGATATATATGTTCTCTTACATGCACATTTTTCTTAATGATTTTTTTCAAAAAGTTTAAATTTTTTTTCTCTCATTAGAGTATAAGCGAGATATTAATCCATGTCAGTTTAATTTCAAGGAGGCTGGTTTTTAAGATAAAGATGAATTGGAGAATTATTAATTTTTTATAAAACTATAGAACTTGCAAAAGGCAAGATATTATTGTTTTCTGTGTATACACAGATGATCAAAGACTAATGAAAGACTTGTGAAATTTCATAGCTGAAAAGGACTTTAGATACCATTCTAATATAGATCATTTTATTTTATAGAAAAGATATTGAGGGTTAGAAATGTGAGTAGGAGTCAGGTTTAGATCCAGGGTTGCCAGTTCATTTTTCCTACTTATTGTTGTGTTCAAGCTCATATCCATACATTTTTATTGTCAAAAATTAAAAATCAGATGGGAAAGAGCAAGAGGCTTATTTCACAGAAATTGGGAAATTTGATTTGTTCTTGGTGGACAGCACGATTAGAGTAAGTTGAAGTAAATGACGTTTCTTTTGTGTCAGCATTTATTAGAAACATTTAAATAAAACGTGAGTTCAAGGGGAAAGATGGAACGGAGGAATTTTTGGAAGTGTGGAGGACTAAACAGTGCTTCTGACTGACACTCAAAATAGGCCTCACATCTATTCGGCACTAATGATTATTTGGTAACTGAGTAAAAACACTTTCAACCATTAGGTAACATCAGTATGTATCCGTTTATCAGGCAAGATTATTGCTCAATGCTAAAGCCAAGAAACTCTAGATTTTCGAAGTGTTTGGACTGTGTAAGGAACTTTTGAACAATACAATTTAAGCTATTTGTTCAAGTACCTTCTCTGATTTTTTTCCACAGCATTAGTTTCCAGAAGTAAGTTAAAGAGCAAGTGATAAGGTCAAAGCTGAGCAAAAAGCTTTGCAAGGTGTTTCATATGATTTTCATGAGCACAACCATGTAATTCCCTTGAGTGGGTGCTTTGCAAATTTCGGACACTTCTCTTAACTTTTTAAAGTTCCTTAATCAAACTGTGGCCATCTCTGTCTGGCATGGGCAAATTCATTTTCTCCTGGCCGTGAAGCTGAGGAAGCTTCTAACATTTTATCCTAATTTAAAACCCGTGCAGTATACACTGTGACTATTGCCCAGTTTGAGAGCTGGCTAAATGCAGAGTGGATAGTGACACACATGCTGAAAAATGTAGGCCAAGGAATAATCTTAACAATTGGCTCCTCACTGATTCCTCAGGGTCCAGAGCATACTCTTCCTGTGAGCTAAGCTATCCAAGCAGAACTTGTTATGAAATCTATCCATCCTACAAAATGGATGAATTGAAGTGATTACTTGAATTTGTTTAGAAAACACATTAAAACCGTTGCTTTGTGCTAGCTGGGTCAACAAAGCCACATAATACTGCCCTGGTTGTTCCTCTCTTTTCACCTGAGACTGTTCTCAATTTCCTCCCCAGCAAGAGAACTCTAATATGGCATCAATCCTTGAAATGACAGTTATTTATTCACTTTTTGGTACTAACCCTTTAGGAGAAAAGACTTTGTCTAGTCAGGCCATTTGCAGCTCTACAAAAATTTTTCTGTTGATGATAAAGTAACATTGTCTTCAATAAATGTCTAATGTCAGTACAATTTCAAACGACAGACTACTGACTCTAGTTTCACATAGAGCATTAGACAGTATCCATTGTTATCTAAGTCGTGGCAAAACTAATTTTGTTCCTCTCATTTATTTAAACGACCATGGTATCAAGCTGACCAAATGCATGCTTGTCTTTCAATTTTCACACAGAGCTACTGTTGTTAGTTACTGCATACTCAATAAACTGGCGCGGAGGGTGACTCTGCTTTTAAAAACCAGACTCACAGGATAGCCTGAAATCAAACATTATATGTTATTTTTTCCCAGAATGCCAGCACCCTGGGTGGGAAAATGTTTAAGTCACTGTATAAATTCAGAAGCTATAATTATTTCCTGATCAAGAGCAGAAAATGGGAACTGGATGTAGTATCTGTGTTCTTTTTGTTAGAGAGTAAATATTCACCAAATTTAAACCCCAAGAACATTTGTCAGCCTAGCAACTATCCTCAATTCCTGGGCACAAAGCCATAGGGAGGTTGATTGATCAAAAATAGGACCCACAATACTGATTGCTGAGAGATCTCGAAATAGAGATATGAAATGATAAAATCCTACTGTGTTCTGAGAAGGCTGATGAAAAATTCGCTGGCCTGAAACCTTATAAACACTGCATATTTTAGCATCACTATCCTTTGAATGCTTCAGAGGGAGCCTCTTTTCTGAA